CAGAGGGATCCCTGAAATCAGCAGGATCGGGATCAGAGGGATCCCTGGGATCAGCGGGATCAGGATCAGCCGGAGCCCAGAAATCAGCGGGATTGGGATCAGCGGGATCAGCGAAATCAGCAGGATCCCTGAAATCCGTGGGATCGGTTGGATTGGGAGCCACGGGATCCCTGGGATCAGCGGGATCGGCCGGATCGGGATCAGAGGGATCCCTGAAATCAGCGGGATCAGAGGGATCAGCGGGATCCATGAAATCCTTGGGATTGGCCGGATCGGGATCAGAGGGATCCCCGAAATCAGCAGGATCCCCAGGATCAGCAAAACCAGCGGGATCCGTTAAATCCTTGGGATCAGCTGGTTTGGGAGCCACGGGATCCCTGGGATCAGCCGGATCGGGATCAGAGGGATCCCTGAAATCAGCGGGATCGGGATCAGCCGGATCAGCAAAACCAGCGGGATCCCCGAAATCCTTGGGATTGGCTGGATCGGAGTCAGAGGGATCAGCGGGATCCGTGAAATCCTTGGGATCAGCTGGATTGGGATCGGGGAAATCATCTGGATCGGGATCAGTGGGATCAGCAGGATCAGGATCTGCGAAATCAGAGGGATCCACTGGATTGGGATCAGTGAAATCATCTGGATTGGGAGCCACGGGATCCCTGGAATCAGCAGGATCGGGATCAGCAAAATCCTTGGGATCGGCTGGATCGGGATCAGCGGGATCCCTGGAACGATCAGGATCGGCGGGATCGGCATCCGCGGGATCCACCGGCTCAGGATCCCTGGAATCCTCGGGATCCTCATGAATTCCTGAGGGGCTGCAAAGGCCGGGATGGATCCGGCCGGGATCCCAAGGGATCCTTCCCTAAATCCCTCGGGAATCTTTTCCCTCCCCATCCCTCGGGAACCCCTCCCCGCTCCGTTCCACCGGAATTCCTGGAATTCTGCCGGGATTCCTTTGGGATTTCAGCGATTTGGGCTCGGGAATCCCTTCCCAAGGATTTTCCCGACGGATCAGCACCAGGAGCCACCCAGGAGGGAAATTCCAGGCGTTTTCCTGGGAAGATTCCCGGGTTTTGTGAGGCCATCCCGTGGATTTCTGAGCAGATTCCCGGTTTTTGTGGAAATATTCCCAGGTTTTCTGATGTTATCCCATAGATCTATAGAAATATTCCAGAGTTTTTATGGAAATATTCCCAAGTTTTATGGAAATATTCCCAGGTTTTGTGATGATATCCCATAGATTTATGGAAATATTCCCAGTTTTTATGGAAGTATTCCCAAGTTTTATGGAAATATTCCAAGGTTTTGTGTTATCCTATAGATTCATGGCAATAGTCCCAGGTTTTATGAAAATATTCCCAAGTTCTTATGGAAACATTCCAAGGTTTTATGACAATATTCCATAAATTCCTGACAATATTCCAAGGTTTTCTGGTGTTTCCTGGGAACATTCCAAGGTTTTCTGAGGGGATATTCCCAGGGTTTTTCTGGGAATATTCCGGGGGTTTTTGGAGGATGTTCCCACCCCCCTCAGATTCCCAAAATCCTGGAAAAATCCACCAGTGCCAGGGATAGGGAGGGATCCGTTTATTGGGAATGGTTGGGAAAGTTCCGGAGGGAAAACTGGGAAAAAATTCCAACGGGGAAAAAGGGGAAAATTCCAAGAGAAACAAAAGGGAAAACTCCAATAAAAAAAGAAGTAAAATTCCAAGGAAAAAAAAAAAAAAAAAGGGAAAATTCCAATTAAATAAAACTGAAAAATTCCGAGAAAAAAAAAAAAAGTGGGAAAATTCCAATAAAAAAAGAGGGAAAATTCCAGTGAAGGAAATGAGGGAAAATTGAACCCCAAGGAAGGAAAATCCAATGGGAAAACTCGGGAATTCCAGCCCGAAAAAAGACGGAAAAATCCAGCTGGGAAAGGAGGGAAAATCTGGGAAAAAAACCTCAGGAAAATCCAAATCCCCAAAAACTTGGGATAATCCAACTGGGAAAAACGGGGAAAATCCAACTCCCAACCTGGGAGAATCCAACGGGAAAACTTGGGAAGATCCGGGGGGGAAAAAAAGAGGGAAAATCCCACTTGGAAAAAAAAAGAAAATCCAACTGGAAAAGTTGGGAAAAATTTCCAAACCCAAATCTGGGGAAATCCGACCTAAAAAAAAACCTGGGAAAATCCATCCTGGAATTCTGGGAATGGGAGGGACACAATTCCGGGCGCTTCCAGAGCCGGGAACGGCTCCGTGGGAATCTGGGAATAACGGGGGGCTGGAAATGCGGGAATGGCGGGGTGGGGAAATCTGGGAATGGCGGGGCTCCGGAGCCGCGTCTCAATGGAAATCCGGGAATGCTTGGGCTCTGGAAATCCGGGAATATGGAGGCTCTAGAGCCGCATCCCTCTGGAAATTCGGGAATGTCGGGGTCTGGAGATCTGGGAATATCAGAGCTCTGGAACTCTGGGAATGTCGGGGCTCTGGAACTCCAGGAATGTCAGGGCTACAGAACTACAGGAATGTTGGGGTTCTGGAGCTCTGGGAATGTTTGGGCTCTGGAAATCCATGAATTTCAGGCCTCCAGAACTCTGGGAATTCCGGAGCTCCGTGCCCTCACTCCAACAGTTCCTGGGGAATTCCCATGGGAAGCGGCTCCAGGGCCCGGCAGAGTTGGAAATCTGGGAATGTCGGGGCTCTGGAACTCCAGGAATTTTGGGGCTCCAGAACCCCAGGAATGCCGGGTTCTGGAGCTCTGGGAATGTTTGGGCTCTGGAAATCTGGGAATTTCAGGGGTCTGGAACTCCAGGAATGTCAGGGCTCCAGAACTCTGGGAATGTCGGGGTTCTGGAGCTCTGGAAATGTTTGGGCTCTGGAAATCCGGGAATGCCGGGGCTCTGGAGCTCCGTCCCCTCATTCCTGGGGAATTCCCATGGGAAGCGGCTCCAGGGCTCAGCAGAGTTGGAAATCTGGGAATGTCGGGGCTGGAACTCCGGGAATGCTGGGGCTCTGGAGCTCCAGGAATTTCAGGGCTCCAGAACTCTGGGAATTCCAGAGCTCCGTGCCCTCACTCCTGGAGTTCCTGGGGAATTCCCATGGGCAGCAGCTCCAGGGTGTGGCAGAGTTGGAAACCTGGGAATATCGGGGCTGGAACTCCGGGAATGCCGGGGCTCTGGAGCTCCAGGAATGCAGGAATTCCGGAGCTCTGGGAGTGCTGTTCCCTCACTCCAGCAGTTCCTGTGGAATTGCCATGGGCAGCGGCTCCAGCGCCCGGCACAGGGCGGCGGCGGGCGGGCGCTGCCGGGG